AGCACAGTTGCTCTGATTGTTGTAGTTAATAGTCGAATATCTTAAATCGACTATTGCTGTCGGCTTCAATTATGATATTGAGCAGAGTCTAAGCTACTTCTTTTTGCTTCTTCAGTAATTTTACATTTGATATGATATAAAATCAAGCACTATACATAATTAATCGACGACACTCATCTTAATGAACAGCCTTTGAGCTACAACTGATATGAAATATAATAAAGGCTAGTATTAAATCCAACATTTGAAACATTACTTCTGTATAAAACAGAAAGTCACTTGGAACAAATATATTTCATATGATTATCGTGTTCTGGTTAAAAAAATTAACTCACAATTCTTTATTTAGAAAATAGTATGGCAAAGACTTAAAACTGATTGTACTCTTTCAATACTAACAACATATTACACCGGTGAAAATCCAGAGAATTAGTACTACTAATTGTAATAAAAAAAATGTCTTGATGAACCTTTTTAAGGATTTGCTGGACGATAGCTAGCCTTTCCCAATAGAGTTGTCTTTTTTTTTTCATGCTGTTCATAAGAATGGATAGAGTTCCTTTACCTGGATTACAAGAAAGTTCACTATTAAATCACAGTTTAGCACTAATAAAATTATTCTGTTATTGTTTTAAAATGGTAGTATAATAATAAATAAAATGCTTTCCTTCCTCTCAATCAACGCTAACCACATTTTTATGATATATTAAATCACTCTTTTCGCTACATTCAGATTGGAAGTATATACGGTAATAATGCTCTAGATTATAGAATGACATGGAACTTAGTTGGGATTGTTCTGTCGAAACTATTGTATACCGTATTTATAAGATCTCGAGACCTACTGGTGTGTCACTGGTTTATCCTGATAAAAACTTAAGCTTATGGGCGCACCATTTTTAAATTTTTTCACCTATGTTGATTAAATATTGGATTTAGTTTGAATAAATTTCAACAAGAAATTAAAACTTGACAATACTAACATACCTACGCCTACGAATTTAAGATTTTGTGTTAAAATACGATACACTGAACAAATCTAAATGTAATTTTATTAAAAAAGTTATTCCTTTCGACTTCCATTATGATTATGCTGAGTTATTATTAATATATAAAGAAGGTATATTAAACCTTTTTTGTGCTCATTATACATTTGCGTAGTTTGCAATAGAATTTATATATCCGTAATTTAAATCAGCATTTTAAGAAATTATTTTATTTTCCTTTACAATCAACTCGAATTTTTTAATACTTATGTATAAAATTACTCTCTTAGATTTAATTTTTTTTATTAATTAATTATAAGCAATTACAAATAAATATATAGTACCTATAACACCTTTCGTCACATTAAATTTCACCCCTTTTTTCTTAATCGAAGAAACCGATTACAACAGTGTTTTTCGAATATAATATAAGTAACAGAGTATGATTTGGATTATTATTCTATTTTCGCTCGAGGGAATAGATGTTTGTTAAGCTATCACTAAATATGGAATCACTAGAAAACTATAAAGTTGTTAAATATGTGTTTCTGGCCGGTTTTATTATATTGTGGGTTCATTGGATATGGACGCGAAGAAACATATATAAATACGGTTTAAGTTTCCCGGTATTATATGGTTTCCCAATAATTGGTTCCTTATACGGAATACGGAACTTGGACAGTGAGTATAATATATTAATAGAAAACTAAATTTGTTTAAGGAATAATATATCTGCTTTTTGAAGATATAACATCAGATCTTAGTTATATTTTTAAATATTGTAAAAGTTATACTCTTTGCTTGTGGTTTGGATGGTTTCCAATCATACTGACTGCAGATCCAGATATTATTACAAATGTTTTGCGCTCTCCAGAACTTCTTAACAAAGCAGAAAGTATTTATCATCCTATTCGTTGTGCCTTTAAAGGTGGTCTTATTACAAGTAGAGGTACTACTATAATAAAGTATTTTGAAATCTAATAGTTAAAAAATATTTTTTTCTATAGTTGATGAATGGTCGAAGAATCGCAAGCTAATAAATCCTGCCTTTGCAAATAAAGTGCTTATGAGTTTCTTTCCAATATTTAATAAAGCTAAGAATAATATAATTAAGAAGTGTAGCGAACTGGTAGACAACAAGGAACATAATTTACTGAATGCTATACAAACAATGACTTTGACAATAACTGCAGGTATAAAACTGTTGAACTATTGACATTAGAAAACGATGATTAAATAAACCATTTGACTTCAGAAACAACTATGGGCAAGTACATGCACAAAGGTAACCAGATTTCTAATGATTTAGCCAATAACATTTGTATGTAAGTTATTTAACTAGACATATATTGTATTTTTATGGAAATAAATTAATAATAAATAAATAAATAATAAATAAATAAATAATTAATCTCATATGTACAGCATAATGGAATATACAACAATTAGTGTATTACTTTCGTTGATGAAACTCGATTTCATAATGGAGTTGTTTTCGAAATTTAGAAACGCTAAAAAATTTTCATACCAGTTCGTCGAAGATGTTAGTATTTATTCTAATTCCTTCACAGAAAAGATAAAACTTGCTTAAAATGTTACAGTTGATTCACGAAAAACTTTCTAAAACTGCTAATGCAGAAAAGAGTACTACAAATACTAAAGATGACATGTCCAGTAATAAGGATTTCTTGCTTACAAACGAAGAAAATGAATTCACTAATAATGAAAATGATCTTGCAGACCATTCTATAAAAAAAGAGCCAAAAATATTTATTGATCAAGCAATAAAACTATACAAACAGCAACTATTCACATGGAATGATATAATAAGTGAATCAAATACAATTGTTGGAGCAGTGAGTACGCGTAAATTATTTATACTTAATATATTTACAATTCTTCATTGATTGTAGGCATTTGAGACTACAGCTAGTGCCATTTATTCTGCTCTTGTTATGTTAGCCATGCACCCGGAAATCCAGCAGCGACTTTTTGAAGAAGTTTTAGACGTATTTCCTGAGAAAAACTTTAATGCTGAGCTTGATCAGTTAGATCAGTTACAATATTTGGATTGTGTAATAAATGAAACACTTCGCCTTGCTCCCTCTGTTTCAATAATCGGACGACATGTTACAAAAGATACACAAGTTGGTAAAGATGTATTTCCCAAAAATACACAAATTCTAATCTCAATATTGCATCTTCATCGACGAACCGATATTTGGGGTCCAAATGCAAATAAGTTTGATCCAGAACATTTTTCAGCTGAGAACTTCGGAAAAGTTCAAAAATGTGCTTTTATTCCATTCTCAAAAGGTAGTAGGAACTGCATAGGTAAGCCCTGATAAAGCTATGTGAAATGTACATGTAGATTAGTTTATTATGTGTTGTTTACAGGATTACGATATGCAATGTTCTCAATGAAAATCATATTAAGTGGACTTATTCGGAACTTTAAATTTGAAACTGATTTTAAATTCGAAAACATCAGGTTCACAAATCAAATAGCATTAAAATTTTTAGAGGAACCCGGATTAAGAATTCGTATGAGGTCATAAATGTTATAGTATACTATAAATTGTATGGTATGTACACCATATGAGTAAAATTCATGAAGTCTATTTGTGATTAATAAAATTTAAACTAAATTGAATAAAATAAAATTATAAATAAAATATAATTATAAATAAAATTAAATTTTATTTAATACGTGGCCAACGAAATCCATTTTTCATATGTCGGTTTTAGAATTACGTTCTACTTTAAATCTTAGTATGGACCAGATTTTAAAATCTTTAATATTAAAGCAGATAATAATTAGGCTAGGAAAAGTCTTGTTACTAAATGCAGATAGAAATATGCATTGTGCTTAAATTCATATCTAAATTTATTTTATATTCATAGATATTAACCAAATCTAGATTAGATGTACCGTTTAACATGTTTTGCTTCTCTTTCATTATCTTTGCTGTTGATCACCTTTTTAGTTGTTTTGTGAGAGCGAAAATAGTAAATATCAGTGTTATTTTTGTTCTGTTAGTTTAGTAATGTTAATTTCCAAATCATATGGGTACATGCACCTGTGTCCCTGTGGACATCTCCGGAAACTGCAGGGTGGACGAGCTTGCCAAATCAAGGACGCGGTTCTCTGTAGTTTATTCAGTAGACATCGCTGTGTTACTTGCAACGGTTGAGTCATCAAGAAAAATATTAATTTATAGTTAAAAATACGATAAAAATTCTTGTCAGGTAACAAATCAGGGATCTGCTTTAACAAAATTGGAAACTATTGAGCACAATGGGAATGCAGTGGCTGATGGGTCACTACGGAACCATATACTGAGACTCATCTACTGCCGACTTTCGTCGCAGCAGTAGCTTTCCAGAAGACAACGAAACTGTGTTTTATCTTATGTGATTGTTCAATATTCACGACATCACGAAGTTTAGTGACTTAACATGTTGGCGCACTTGGATCAAAAGGGGGGAGAAGTGCTTTTTTCCTCATTGTCAATGCGCAGACCGTTATGGTCCTTATACTTGTATTAGTGGTTTAGTTGGTCTAGCGTATAAGCAACGTTTTAAACAGTGGTAGCATAACAAACTTTATTCCGTGTTCATTTTTTATAGACCTTGGTATGTTAGGCCGCCAGTTCAACCTAACGCACCCTTGTTTAAGAAGTTTTTGTTTCCGCAAATATATATTTTGGCTTTTTGATAAGACAGTTTAAGCAAATAAAAATCTTTTTAAAATATGGTATGTTAAATCCATGAAGAATCAAAAATTATAATAAATTTGTTTGTAAATTATTTAAATGGTTACTATTTGAAGTATATGTCGATATGTTTAGGTTTTCAAAATGATATTTAATCACTTAAAAAACTCTTTAATTATTATTTAATCACTTTTCACATTTAATTTTTTTATTACATATATGAAAATACGGAGTGAATTTAAATATACTCAAAAGCCGATTTTCAATATAGGTGACCGTTTTAATTCCATTGTTAGACGCAAACCATCACTTATTGGATCAAAAATTTAGCCAAGTGGAAAGATGACATCAACACAAATCAAAATTATAAAAAAAGTTGAAATAAATGGAGCAAATTAGTATTAAAGTACCAGAAAAGTACAATTAACAATTAAATGTAAAATGTACTCACATACGTGTAAACCTACTCTCAAGAAAAATTTTTACCAACATTTGTGGGTAGAACAAACAAGGTAAATGTCTTCCTACCAGTTGAGTGAGGTGTGTCAACTTTAAGTGTTTAAATGGGCAATTGGACTGCAATCAAATTCTCAAAAGGGGGAAAATATGCGCAAGAATAATTGTAAAAAGTTTTGTAGGTGCAGGGATTGCATTGCAGACATAAACGTGTATAATTCTACATTGAAATTTATTTTAATACCTTTAATTTAAGTTTAGTGTGGATGTATTTTCATGTAGTTTTTGTATGGGATTTATAAAACGGTTAGCTCTATAATTAATTTTTTATATCATTGTTGAAAATTTTTCTTCTGATAAAATAATGTAATCAAATACTTCGTATATTACCAGATAGCGTTATAAAATGTGTTAAAACATTTTCTAATAATAAGCTATACAATATAGATTTACCCAAAATAACATTACAAACTAAAAAAGCATGCATCATTAAGCGTGGAATTATTTTTAGAATACTATCTATCATGGTGTTAAAAAAAGTATTATGCCCTTTGTAAAAATGTTATTTATTGTTATCAATAGAATTTATTGTAATATATGAAATGAAATTTGTTATTATAATAAAAAGTACAGTAAATGCAGTAAATAATAATAATAATAATAACTGGTCGGACACTGATATGCAAAAATTGGACACGATCGTAAGGACATCACTAACTAAATTTAATTACCACCACCCGAAAGCCTCAAAAGAGCGAATAAATGTACCCCGAAAACTTGAAAGCAGAGGAATAAAAAACATTGAAATGCTCACCCAACAGCAAACAATAACTCTAAGAAATTACTTTTACAAAATAGCCCAAACAACAAACCTGTATAGATCTTTAATATAAGCAAATGACAATCTTACACCCCTTAATCTGAAAAATAACATTCAACCAAATCTGATTAATATAAACAGCTTAGTTACAACCTGGAAGTCATAAATTATTCATGGCAAGCACCCAAACGAAATGGAAAAACAACATATAGACATGGAATATACAAATAAATGGCTCACAATAGGAATAATGTTTCCAGGAACTGAAGGCTATATCCTGGCTATTCAAGACGGAATAATTAAAACAAGAAATTATGTAAAATACATATTAAAAACACCAAATCTAACAGACGACAGCTGTAGGCGATGTACTCAAGCACCAGAGACGATTTCGCACATAATAAATAGTTGCTCAATGCTAACAAGTACAAAATACAAACAACGCCATGGCAATATGGGAAAAATAGTGTACATTAATATCCTGCAAACTCTAAAAATAGCTAATGTAGAGAAATCATAGTACAAATACAACCCGGAACCTCTGATAAATGCTAATCAAATCACAATATACTGGAACCGGTCCATTCTTACAAACACAATACAAAGCACACAAATACCTAACAGACCTGATATGATCATAATAAATAAATAGGATAAAAGAGCACACATAATAGATTTTGCAGTTCCCCTTAATAACAATATTCAAGACACATATAACAATAAAATAGTAAGTAAATACCAACAATTAGCACAATATATTAAAAATTCACTAGACGTAGATGAAGTAAAAATACTACCAATAATAATAAGCTCCACAGGACTAGTCCCGTAAACAACAATAATTTCAATTACACATTTAAATAAAAAACCATTAATCATACCCCAAATGCAAAAAACGGAACATAATGAGGGAAATAATCGGCTAAGCGTGTAAAACTTGGATTACACTCCAACAGAGCGTATACCCTTTGGTCAATGACTCGAAATACATTAATACCAGTCACCTGACTGTGAGTAATTCAAATAATAATAATAATAATGTAATGTAATAATATATAAATATATATCTTAATGAATGTCATATAATTCATAAATGCGAATTATTATAATAAATAAAAATTATGTTGTTAAACATTATTTATTGTAATAATTATGTTAGTATGTTATTTATTGCAGTAAATGGCAATTATTTTATTAATTGTAATTGGTTATTATGTATGACATATATTATGTTTTTTGATAATTGTTGTAAATGCAATGCAATTCTTATTGTGTTTTAACGAGTATTACGATTTTTAATAATTTACTGTAATAAATTATGTTAAAATTTGAATTGTTGTGAATATAATGCAATTCTTATTCTGCTCAAAGCATATTACTAAATTTATTGGAACTAAAACACAGATTTATACAGAAATCCTCAATTTAATGCATTTAGTTACATAATTGGTTTGTGTCAGACTAAATTGGTTTCTATATAATCCGTACAATGAGATTGAACGTTATCGATATCTTTTAATATAATAACTCAAAATGATTACTTTAAAATTCAGTTTCAAAAATCTGTGATATTGCTGTTTAATATACGTAAGAAACCAATAACAGCAGTTATAACACCTATACATTATTTAATATTTGAACAAAAGAAAACTGATTTACGCTCAAAGACAATCATAGATACCTTCAGTTGGTACTGGTAATGAAATAACATTAAACGTTATAAATAAAAGCACTTTAAGCATTTTATTTGTGTCAAAAATGCAAATACTGAAATGTTAATCAAACGCTTAAAAATGCAAACAATTCAATTTTGCGTTAACCAATAAAACACGAAAAACCTTTTAAATTGAAAAGAATTTTTTATTAAAAAAATCGAAAAAAAAAAACCATTTATTGACACTTGCTGTCTTCGCTGCTTGCGAGTATCTCAACGCATTACGGCATTGGCAGCACTGGCACAGGAAATGCAGCAACGAGATTTTGCTGCACATCGCAGCTCAAATCAATCTGACATTTTGACTGAAATTTCAATAGAGCTTTGCCGTGTTTTTCATTTCTGCCAATTATTGCCTATGCCGAGTGGAGATACGCTGACGTGTCGGTGCTGTATGCCAGCACACAGCCTTGTTTACACTTTAATGATGCACTTTCCTCTCAGTTCGTCGTGTACTTACTTAAGCAATTTTATAGTTTTGATGGCTTGTTAGTAGCAGTAATGTTAGTGAAATGCTTTAATTTAATTAAGTAACTCTCTTTTACAGTGTCAAATTGTTTGTTTAACAAAATTTCTCGGTTTCACCATCGAAGCCGATAAGATCAATGCACATCGGAGAAGCAAAGATACAACGCTTGCTGCTTGTTTACTTGGTAATTTATGTGATTTTTCATAATTTATCGTAGAATTAAAAAAGAAAGAGACACAAGAGAAGTTGTAGATAAAAAATTCAGCAACTAAGCAAATTGTATGGTATGATGAATTTGAGATATGGTATGACGCCAGTGGAAACCACTGAAACAGTAGTTATCTGTGGCACAAGTGCAGTAGCAAATATTAAGACATGCCAGTGCAACAACATGACATTTACAAATGTTAATC